TATATAAAATACATCAATATGAAATAGATATTTAATATAGTAAAGAAAAATAAGAAATATAATATAAATAAAAAATTTAAAGATATATAAGAAATTATAGATCGCTAAGATTGCTAAGAAATTAGAGAAATGATAGAAATCATAGAAATTAGAAAAAGTTGAGATCCATGATCGATGGAATCATCATTCGCTAATTATAATTGGCGCAGTACTAATGCGTTATAACTAGACTATTACTAACAAGATTCTGTACCTTCATTCCATTTGCACGATAGTGTGTGTTGAAAAGAGAAACATAAGCTATAGAGGCAACTTTTCTATAATCATTTATTATACTTTGGTTTACCAAAGCTCTTAACAGTGCAGTGCATCTATAATACAGTAATGTGCTACTTCACGCATATTTCTCGCAGTTGTTGAAAAAGGGCTTTTTTTCGCCTCTGAATAAATTTTCCACATTTTTTTATATGGCATGTCGGCCTTACTGTCAAGATCACACTTTTGTAAGAAAAATTTAAGTGAACTTTTCTTTTTGACTTCAGAATGAGGAAAACATTTTTTGAGACACACTCAGACATCAATCGATACGCAATCTGGCAGTTTAAGGAAGCTAGAAGTAAAATCATCTTCTACACTAATTTTGATCTTAATTGGACCACCCATATATTCTTTCTCCTCTGGATCCTCTTCACTTTTCTCGAAAGCCTTAACAGGATACTTTTTCATGAAATTATTTTCAGATTTAGCTCCTATCTTTCCACAATATTTCCATTTTATAATTTCTTCTTTTGTTTTAAACTTTTCTGTCATTCGCTTCCACATCCATTCGAGTATGTTAAGATAATATAGGTAGTATTCTATTAAAATTGATGTACAAATCATATGATTTACTATGTCTCATAATCCACTTTTAATGGATCAGCTCCCATATGCTCTTTCCATAATAAAATGCCAATCATAGTCTAAATCGTTAAACCCAACATGAATATTAGGGGTAAATGCTCACCAGCAAAGAGTGAAAGCTTTTAGTAGATTTACTTAGTTTCCATATATGATTATCATCTATTGCAGATCTGATTCTGTTTCAACATCAACAAGACATATTTGCTTTAGTAGTTTTGGATCATCTTTCCAGTGTAATATCATACAAATCATAAAGATCTTGTTTTTCTATTCAAGTACTTCTGCAAATTCTCTCAATTCTCATGGTTGTGTTTCTATATCCCATGTAAAGACAAGAATACGATCCCATAGGAGAGCTGAAATAGAAAATCAGTCGCTTATTATTATAAGATCTTCCAGTAGACAAAAATCTTTTATAGATATGTAGAATTCATGCAGATAAAGTGAGCTGGTTCACTTGCCTTTCTTGTACAGTTAGACCTCCATATAATCACCTAATCAGTTTTCAAAATATTGGTGATTTTATGGAGGTGTGACTGATAAAAAGGTATCCTCTATATAATCACTATTATATTAAAAATCATGTGAGGTGATTATATAGAGCAACATAAATGCAAACACATATATAAAAATAAAAGAATATTATTGTTATTTTATAATGACATATAAATGCAAATTATTTATTATTTAGTAAATTTTATTCAAAATACTATGTAAATGCTACTAAAAACTAATCAAACTAATCAATATTAAAAAAAATCCATAATTGATAACTGCCTTCGGGATTGTTGTTCAAGCTGTTTAACAATCTTAAAGTACCTTTAAAAAGAGTTAAATCTTCTACATGAAATTCATCAATATGCTGTTGCTCAAGATTTAAGAGCATCACCGGGAGGTATTAGAATTTCTTCTTCTTCAGAATCGCTATTTTCATGATATGTTTCCTCCCTTTGAATCAGCCTTATTATATTATTTTCGTCTAAAGTATCTTCAGTTTGGATTTCTTCTAAGTCTTGAAAAAAAATCAGTTAGTGCATTTGCCAGTGAGGAAGCAGAAAGATCATCCGTATCAAGTTCTTCAATTATTTTATTAACATCGAATGTTGCATCATCTATTGCTTCTTATTAGATTTGTGATGCATCGTCTAAGATGTAGAAGGCAAAATTCCAGTTTTTCTCCAACAGTTCCATACTATTTCTTCGGTTATATGACCCTATGATTCCACAATATAATTAATTGCTTTCTTTATATTTATCTTTTCACTATTTATATCTTTTCCATCTTCAAATAAATCCAGTATATGATGGTAAATTTTTCTTTTAAAATGCTTTTTGAAGCTCGCAATGATTCCTGCATCAAGTGGTTGAAGATGACTTGTGGTGTTAGGAGGTAAAAAGTCACTTCAACATGAGTTAATCGAAGCTGGGAAATGTCAAATTGATGTTCTTCCAATCTATCACCTCTTGATCCACTATGACCACCACAGTTATAACCACCATGACCTCTTGATCCATCATGATCACCACGACCTCTATGACCGTTATGAGCTCTTGATCCACCACGATCACTACAGCCTCTTGATCCATCATAACTAGGTCCACCATGACTGTCATGACCTCTTGAAGCTTGATCCTCTATAATTAAATTAAGAAATTATTTATTAATTATCATTTAGCAT